TGGCACATGTACATGTTTTTTAAACATCCCCTCCAGGGATGGTGACTCCAGCACCTCCCTGGGCAGCCTATGTCTTCCAGCACTGGGGGCTGACTACCCAGGGAATAACCAGTCTGACTATTAAAGACTGAGGTGAAGACGGCATGAAGTACCTCAGCCTTTTTCTCTTCCTTGTTGGCAATATTCCCCCCCACATCCAATCAGGGATGGATACTCTCCTTGGCCCTCTTTTTGTTGTTGATGTATTTGTAAAAACATTTTTTGTTGACCCTTACAACAGCGACCAGCCTGAGTTCTAGCTGGGCTTTTACCTTTCTAATTTCCTCTCCGCATGACCTAGTGAGAACCCTGTACTCCTTGAGTCACCTGTCCTTTCTTCCATACGTGGTCAACTCTCCTTTTTTTCCTGAGTCCCAGCAAGAGCTCCCTGTTCAGCCAGGCCGGTCGTCTTCCCCGCTGGTTCATCTTGCGGCACATGGGGACAGCCTGCTCCTGTGCCTTCAAGACTTCCTCCTTGAAGAATGTCCAGTCTTCCTGGACCCCTTTGCCCTTCAGGGCTGTTTCCCAGGGGACCCTTGCAACCAGCGTCCCAAACAGGCCAAAGTCTGCCCTCCGAAAGTCCATGGTGGTGGCTTTGCTGGCCCCCCTCTTAACTTCACCTCAAACTGAGAACTCTACAATTTCATGGTCGATAAGCCCAAGATGGCCTCCAACCACCACATCTCCCACCAGTCCTTCTCTGTTAGTAAACAGCAGGTCTAGCGAGGCACCTCCCCTGGTAGGGTCACTTACCAGCTGCATCAGGATGTTATCTTCCACACACTCCAGGAACCTCCTAGACTGTTTCCTCTCTGCTGTGTTGTATTTCCAGCAGGTGTCTGGTAAGTTGAAGTTCCTTATGAGAACAAGGGCTAACGATTGTGAGACTTCTGCCAGCCTCTTGCAGAAAACTTCATCTACCTCTTCATCCTGGTTGGATGGTCTGTAACAGATCCTCAGCAGGATGTCTGCCTTGTTGGCTTTCCCCCTCATGTTCACCCGTAAGCATTCAACCTTGTCACCACAATCGTTGAGCTCTATACAATCGAAGCAGTCCCTAACATACAGTGCCACCCCACCGCCTCTCTTTCCTCACCTGTCCCTTCTGAAGAGCTTATAGCCATCCATTGCAGCACTCCAGTCATGAGAGTCATCCCACCATGATTCTGTGACGGTGACCAAGTCACAGCTTGCACAATGCTGCACAATGGCTTCCAGCTCCTCCTGTTTATTGCCCATGCTACGTGCAATGGTGTAGATGCACTTGAGCTGAGCTGTCAATCTCAACCCTGACCCTGGCACACCAAGCCTGTGGGCAAGAATCCTTTTTCCCCTTTGAGAAGGGGATTTATTCCCATTCAAATCAGAGTAGGGTAATGAGAAATGAAACTAAATCTTAAAACACCTTAAAATCAAATCTTATAACACCTTCCCCCCACCCCTCCCTTCTTCACAGGCTTGACTTCACTCCCGTTTCTCTCCCTCCTCCCTCCGAGCGGTACAGGGGGACGGGGAGGGGGGGTTATGGTCAGCGAATGGGGGTTACGGTCAGTTCATCACACATTTTCTCTGCTGCTCCTTCCTCCTCAGGGGGAGGACTCCTCACACTCTGCCCCTGCTCCAGGGTGAGCTCCCTCCCACAGGAGACAGTTCTCCACAAACTTTTCCAACGTGAGTCCTTCCCACAGGCTGCAGTTATTCATGAACTTCTCCAGCATGGGTCACTTCCATGGGGTGCAGTCCTTCAGGAGGAGGGTGCTCCAGCGTGGGTCCCCCACGGGGTCACAAGCCCTGACAGCAAACCCACACTGGTGTGGGCTTCTCTCTTAACGGGTCTGCAGGTCCTGCCAGGACCCTGCTCCAACGCGGGCTTCTCATGGGCCCACAGCCTCTGCCAGGCATCCACCTGCTCCAACGTGGGGTCCCTTCCACGGGGTGCAGCTGGATATCTGCTCCACCATGGCCCTCTGTGGGCTGCAGGGGGACAGCCTGCCACACAAACCCAGTACAGGTGCCTATCATCAAATAGCTAAATGTCTGCTTTCATTTAGTAAATTAGTTAATTAGTAAATTAGGGTTTTTAATTAGTAGTTTAAGTAGCTGATTATCTTGAAATTTGCAAAAACTTTGGATGGATATCAGACATCTCTGCTGTATTTACCCAATCAAGAAATCAAGAAAGTGTAAGTGGTGGTTGTGATGAGACAAACAAGAAAATTACCTCATTTTTTAACTCCATGTTTTCTTTTTTTTGATTTTTTTTTTTACAAATTTGGAAAGACATTGTTTTATGATGTCTTTAAGTTCATATTGACTTTTTATAGTCAGCTGGAGCCAGGCAGATGTAGGATATATGCAATGAACATGCTAGTGTCCTAGGCAACAACTGCATGTTAGATTAGAATTTAAGGAAGTTGTAAAATTTGGCTTTTATTTTATTTTAAAAATTCTTTTATTTCTGTTACTTTATTAAATATGGGACATGATTTCAATGATAAATGGAGAATAATGAAAAACTTCATTTAAAGGGCAAGATACGTTTGTCTAGTTATGCCATTTCTCTATGACACTTTTTTGTTCCTGCTTCAGAAGAGTAGATTTTCCATTTTATAGAAGTGCCTTATCTGACAGTACTGACAATTATTGTCAGTCCTGAGCATAAAAATTTTCTCATGAGAATAAAAAAATTCTACACTTTAAAATAAATTCGAGCTCAGCATGCTGTTTTCATTATAAGCATATCTTAAAACCATCAGGTTTTGAGAATCTTAAGATTCCTTTTGAAAGGGAAAACTTATTTTTATAATAAGGAGTTACTGCTATTTCAGGGTATTATATGACACATTTCATCTTCTTTTAAGTGACTTGGAAAGATTTGGGCCTTGGCCCACAAATAATTTATTCTGTATTTTAAAGGCTTGCTTGACTGGCTGCATGTCTCCATATTTTTTTGGAAAAAAAAGATTTTTTTTTTTATGACAGGACCTGGAAGCTATCTCTGAAGTACTGTGCCACAGCGGGACTTTTCTTTCTCCTTACTCGGCCAACTAGTGGAGTAGTCAAATATAGGATCAATTCTGTGGTACTGTTTAAACTACAGTAGCAGTGTGCATCATACAAAAGGAAGGCTTTTGTTTCTGAAAGTGAAATTGTATGTATTTTCAAAATAAATAATAATAATAAATAAATTTTAATATTTAACAACCTCTACATGCCATCCAATGAATAATAATTATTTCCTTGAAAACTGAAAGTTCTTTATACCGTTTAATAGGAATTTAACAGTCGCCAGTTAAGTTTACATAGTAAAGTGCATAAAGTGACTCAGCCCTTGGCATCAGCAAGAAGCTGTCTGAGAAATGGCATTGCAACTGCATGACAATTCTGTCACTGTTTTCCCTGAAATGGCAATTTGAGTTTGTTTTTCTTTTGTGCCAGCTATATGAAACAGTAGTTTAGGAAAAAAAACTCACGCCCCAAAGCACACACTAAATTTTTTCCAATGATATGTGGCAATTCTACTTTATATATAGTAGGATTTAGCATATAAAATTTCACATACAGGAGTTATACTTCTTTGAGAGTGGAGTTTTTGCGATTGCTTGAATTTGTATCAATAAAAGAACTAAATTGAGTTGGAAAGAAATTGGCTTTTATGAAAGCAAACTTACAGCCAGCTAAATCCCCTTCAAACACCGGTAAACATATCCTTACACTTTGATTCTATGTTAAGCACCTTTTTTTACCTTTTAAATCCTTCTGAACCTGTGCTGAAAACTACTACCATACTATAACATTACTGAAGAACATGGATTTTGGCATGAAGCTAATTAGTGGAAAATCTGGAAAGATAGTTCAAATATTGTCCGAAGTTTTTTTAAAATACACTTTGTTTTTTTTAAAAGTACTCAAATTTGTATTCAATGTGCGTGTTATGTTCCATGAAGTAAATGTATCTCTAAAATAAAAATTGTATGAAAGATGGATTTTTCTTCTTTGTCTGCATTTGGGCCAAAGGTCTGTTTTCTATAAAACTTATGTCTGTTTTAACTTAAGCAGTAATTTCAACTACTTCACTATATTGATTACTAGTTAAAAATAGTTTGCTGCATTGTGTATAAATAGCCCAATGAATACCTGGAAAGTCACATAAATATTTTGTAATATTAGGGACAAAAGACTTGCATAACATCAGTTAAGTAAATGTCGCATTAAAATACCATCGCTGTTTAAGGAAGCCCAATTGTAATTGCTCAAATGGCAGTTTGGTTTTTCATGTATCTTAAATTCTTTTTTATTTCTCTTTTTGCATTCAGATGCTGAAAACTCTGCAGAGTTCAGTCAAGTGCATGTGAATACACATGTTTGCGTGCACCCATGCACTTACGCAGAGTGTTTCTGATTTTACCGCCCTTTTGTTACTGTCTTGGTACTTTGACTTTCCACACTTTGACTTCCACTGCTTCACATTTGAGTGTGAACTTCCAGGGGGGGTGAGGGGGGGTGTGTGCATTCTTTTATGTTTTAAATTACTCAGAATTTCCATGTGCTTTTACTTGACTTGTGGTTGTGAAGATCATGCTTGGCCCATGGGATCTTACACTGTGCCGAGAGGATGTGGAGTTTTGTCAGCCAGGGAAATATCAGCAGCTCTCATATGCTTCTCTTCTTGTGTGGTCTCACTAAACGGAGTATATTTAACAGAAATACTCTCCCTCTCTATCTTCTGTGTGCTGCTCTCTTTTAAGCAGACTGTGTACAAGAAATCCGAGATCCAGAAAATTTTAGTCCTGACTGAAAACAGGGTAGTGTTACATAGAAAGGTACTTAAATAGTTGTACATTCCGAATTTATAACAGCGTTCCACATTCTGGTTATGCACAACTATTAGTAGATCTGCAGTTACCGATAAACACCCCAGCTATATCTTTTTATGGGTATTCTGTGCTTTCTTTTTGCAGGCACTGCTACAATCTACAGTTCAACAGCAAGAAGCAGCTATTGAAAAGCAATATATACTAGCAATTGAAAAACATTCTCACAAATGTGAAGAACTTCTTAATGCTCAGGTATGGATGTGCACATACAAAAATCCTGGTGATTTTCTTTTAGTTTCAACTCTTTTCTGTTTGTAATACTATTAACATGTATGATCACCAAAGATAATACATAATCTTTCATCTTATGTCCTCAGCATAACAGTAAACACAAGTATTTAAAAGTGCAAAATAAGTAATGACTCTTCATCTGTTGGGATCAAAGGTTTTTTATAAAATTTAAACCTGCTTGGAACAGGTTCAAGAAAAGTGCAGCACTGAGAAAAAGTCTCAGAGCAACTTAGTACTTACTCCTTTAACAGCTGCCACTTTCTGTAGTCTTGGAGAAAACATGCAATTATTTTAAATTTGTGTAGTTAAATGCCGGATTTGATTGTATGGGATTTGCATGAAGTGTTTTCCAATTTTTTTGGTGCTTCTTAGACACAAACATCTGTTATCCAAACCTATTTTTATTTCACAGAAATCTTACATAAAACTTAGCTATAAGGAATTATGTAATTTTCAGAAATATATACACATAACTAGGCTTATATTGGATCATTTAACATGAGTGAAAGCACACTGCACAGCAAGTATTTGGAATCACATCAATTACTGATGAGTATCTGAACAGTGTAAACCTGGTTTGTTATTGAAAATATCTTGGTTTAACTTACGTACAGTTCTTGAACTAAAATAATAATGAACATCAGTGTGTAAGTTTAAAAGAGAAAAGATAATTTGCTAATGGTATCCTGAAGCTGTTTATATGGCAATTAACAGCTACCTTTTAAGTATTGTTAGCAAGATTTCTACTACAAATACAAAGGACAATAATTTGTTTATTTAATTTTCTTGGAGTGTATTAAACCTAAACACATCAGAAGTCCACTTGAAATATTCCACCAGTATTTCCAGCAGTGTTTTATGACTGTTTCACTGTTCTGACCATATTGATTAACACTTAGTGCAAACATGTATTAAATATATAAGGGTTTCTGAAATGAACGTATTGTTTACAGACTTGATGTCATTTCTGAATGTTAAAAAGGAGTGAATCTCATGAACTCTGGAAGAATTACAGGAAGATTTTTTTAGGGTGTACTTACATATTGAGCAAAAATATTGCTCCTGTGATCTGTTACATTTGCATTGCAAACCAAAAGGTAAGACGGAAGTGTGAAAATGTGTTCAAGAGGTTCAGATGTACCTGAGGAGAACCCAACAATATAAGGGACCTTGGTTGTAGGACAGAAGAGTACTTACAACATAACACAGTGCCCAGTTCACATCATGTCTACATTTAATGCAATTTAACACCCCCTTTGGATCCTAGAAAAGGTTTACGTTTTGTTCACAAACTTCCAAATAATTTCTCATTCAACTCAATCAAAGTTTACCACCTTTAATTGTTATATAAAACTGCGATTTTGAAGCGTAATCAAGTAGACAAGTGTGAGTGCTTATGGTAGAACTACCAGGTTTAACAAAATAGGATTTATACTGGTGAATTTTCACTCATAAGTCTTCGTTGGAAGAGATCTGAGAAACGTGTAGTATGTTTTCATTCTTTGTGAATGCATCTATTCTTAAATGTATGCTGTGGTGTTTGTTTTAACATTTGGTTTTGTTTGAATTATTTTGTTCTGTGCTAACAGTGAAGATTACTGATGCAGTTACTAAAGATTGTGCTCCAAGTTGATTAATATTCAATGTTACAGGATTGTACATGCATATCCACCTTTACATGGAGAGTTATGAGTACCTATATCACTGTAAAGAACTTTTGTTTTGATGCAACAGTAATGACACAGTGTAAGTATGTTCCGTACACAATCATGGCTTCTTTTTTTTTGTTCCCTTCTAATAGTCTTGCCTTACAAGCAGTATTTTGCCTTCAGATGTCTAAGCCCACATAAAACTTGTCAACCCACATAATTTTTTGTCCTCATTTGCAATTCCTTCTAGATTTTCTGCTGTTTTATTTCCGCTTCCACAGAATCAAGATTATTTCATGTAATAATTCCTTCCTCACGCTTTCTCCCAATCCCATTTTCCCCCTAAATTCCATACCCCTCCCTCCCAAAAAACTCTCTTTTAGAAGGAGGAAAGGCTGTTTTTCTCTGCTTGTCTTTAACCCATCGTTAGAATTTATTTAAGTTTCTGATTTTGAAGCTGTATTTCATCAGGCTGTTGTGCCTGTGATGGAGATGCATGTGAAAGTCTGGCTAGAGAGGTATCATACTGCTGATACGGTCAGTGTACAAGTCTTTATCTTCCAGGACAGGGGAAGATCTGAAAGGCCTAGTTCTGTGGTTCTGCTTCAGCTTCCTGCCAGACAAATCTCTGCAATTCATCTTTGATCGTGACATGTGAGGTTTTGCAGCATACTGGCTAGCTATAGGTCACATCATCATTACCTACAGGAGGGAACCATCAGCCGGTCAAAACAAATTGTCTTCAGTTTTGTATCTTGTTTCGAGTCTGTCAGCTATCTTTTCACTGTACTCTTCTGCTAGATCTAACTCCATAGGTCTGCGGTTTAGGACATTGCTAAAATTGCAGAAACTTCTCCAAAGTAAATTTCTGAGCCATTTTCTATTCTGGCCCTTCTGACAGATGCCTTCCCCACTGATTCTAAAGTAAAAAAGTTCTGGTCTATTTTCTAGTTTAGTTTCATTTGTTTGGGGTTCAGTATACTCTCCGACATACTGTACTGAACTGCCTCTCAGTGAAGTGTCCTTCTGCATTGATCGTTACCACTATCCATTGCTTTTGAAACAAGCACTTGAGAGATGAGCTGGCAGTATCAGTTACTATTCAGTTACTGCCCAGAGATGCCAAGTATTTCTATATCTACCCTTTTCTCAGTCCATTAATGTCACTTGTCTTGAATATCCGATCTCAAAGGTTCCCAAGGTCTGGAGCTTATGGGTCCCCTTCCCTCTTTCCTGGAATGTGTTGAAAGGACCGGTTTTCTCAATGAAATCGATGATGACTGTAATGGATGCTTCCTGGAGAACAATCTTTAGGGCTGCTGTTCTTTTCAAGGAAATACACTCTCATATCAACATTTCAAGAAGCAAACCAGGCATTCTCATGGCATATTCAGGGGCACAGGGTCATGGTGCCCTTCATCAATGAACAGGGCAATGAGAACTCTTATCCTCTATGCCAGGAATCAGCAACATCATATAGTGAATATTTAGGAAAGTAACATATGTCAGTTGTACGTTTGTAGCATTTAAGGATATCAGAGAAAATGTCATCGGAAAACACATGTCAGTTGATTACAAGTTGGAAAATAAAAAATTTCATCCTTAGCTTTTTCTGAGACACAAACATATTTGATGTTGCCTCTTGAAAATGCCAATTTTGATCTTATGGTTTGACTTGTGATGTATGAAAACGCATACTGAAAACCATGATTAACAAACTTTTTAATAGGATTTTTTAATACTCAGAAAACGAAGCCACATGTAACATCAAGATAATGTAAGTGCTTCAGTATGGTCAGGTATTGGTCATTGCTAGAAGTGAGATGCCACATAGGGTAAAACAATATGTATCTTGTAAAGTATGAATGTTAGAAGCAAAAACAATTAAAAACCCCCAAACAAAACCCCAAAACAAAGCAGACATCTGACATTAAAATTTATCTCTCTGTGAGATTACTGACAAATTTAGATCACAGTTCTACCTTCTTTAGTAAGCGCTAACAATCTTTCATGACAAATGAGACATGGAAAAGGTCTACAGGCTATGCATACTTCGATTTTTAGGGAGAAAGAGCAGCAATTTTTTATACATGTGTAAGTTAATGAAATAGGTCTCATACTTACGGAGAAGTATTGTTTCGAAACGTCACTGAGACTTTGTAACTAAGATATTGCCTGGGCTGGGTGCTGGAAGCAGCTAGCAGAGGCAGGTATCACTGGCAATAGTCTGCTGTTCTGTACCACAGTATGTGGAATAGAGTGACTCTCAGCTTTCCCTGTTCTAAAATGTTTGATTAGAAACATCGAAGTGTGTTTTTCTTCTGGAAATAGAGAAGACATAGAGACTCAGTTACTTTACAAGGCATGGACCATAAAAGGCACCATAAAAAGACAGACTAAGTAAGCATCTATTATTTAGAAGTATTTACTATGTAGCACCAGGATATTCTAAGGAATTTTCTCATTTAGGTTGCGAGACCATGAACGTGATAGTATAAAAGGAATGACCTGTTTTCACTGGAAGCCCAGAAATGATGAAGTATCAGAAGTTTCTCTCACTGTTCAAAATAGATGGTTTTAAAAATGTAGACTATATTGAGGTAGATTTTTATATTCTTTTTAAAACAGTCAATGATCTGTGTATTAAGGTAAAATAAATTCTTAAATACCTACAGCAAATCACTTCTTTTTTGTCAGAAAACATTTTCCCTCTATTTATTTACCTTGCACTTTTCTTTCCTTACCTTTTGTGGGGAGAAGTGAGCAAGAGGCCGTGTGGTGCTTTGCTGCCGCCTGGGGCTAAACCGCAACAGTGGCACACAAAAAGGAAAGAACTCAGTTAAATGCTTCCTCTGCACTTTAACAAATTGATATTTTTCATGATAATTTTATGTGAAGCTATGAAACAAAACTCTCATTTGTAGATGCAACAGCATTTAAGATAAGTAGAGTTAGCCCCATGTCCTTAGTTCTTTTTCCACTCTACTTTATCGTGATGTTGGCTGTCATTTGTATGACAAATAGCAGTTAAAAATCTCTCGAATGGGGCACCAAGTCTCGTGCCTTTTTTTGGAGACACACTCAGAAAATTACAGATTCAGCTTCAATTTGAAAACAGTTTGCTGAAAGGTCAATCAGAGTAGAAGTCCCATTTGATAGAACTCTGTTTTTTGAATTGTATGATGCTTCCAAGAACAGCTTGTGGACACGCAGAAGACTGGTGTGACAATAGTAATGAGCTGCTGGAATGTGATTTGTGCCTTGCCTTCTCCAGTATTTGGATGATACATTTTGATGTGTTTTGCATAGCCT